TGGAGAATGACTTGAGTAGGGAGAGGCAGAAAGTCTAGGAGGGTTTCATGGGGGCAGTGGCTCAGCTGGGTGTAGAAGGTGAGTGGCAATTTGCCAGTCAGATTCACAACAGAAAGTAAGAGACCAAAAGTATCCAGGCACCTACCCTTGTGACTTCTACTTCTTTGAAAACTTCTCTTCCCTTAGTACCTGTGTAATGACAACATCCAGAATCTCTTGCTGCTTCTCTGTCCAACTTCCTGGTCCTACTTCATCAGCTGGAGGCCTGTCCCAGGGTTCCATCCTTGGTTGACTCTCAGCTCTTGGCCATCCGACAATTTCTCCCTTCCTTAGGTTTCAACCACAGCCCCTCTGTAGAACATTCTGAGGTCTCTGGCTTCTAACCTGTGATCATTCCTAAGTCTCAGTCCCATGTCATCATACTGTGCACTGGACATCATTGTTGGCACTGTCATGTCCAAAACAGAACTCTGTATCCTCCCCTCCTCATCCTGCATCCAAGGCAACTTCCTTTCCAACTTCCTTCTTATCTAGCTTATCTGACATTACTTTGGGCTTGAGAACCTTATAATTTTGCCTGCCTTCTCTCTGTTAGTTCCAACATTTAATCAAGCAGCATACCCTGATTTCTCTTTCCTTTGAAATCATCGCCTTTCTCTGTCATTTCCAAAGTTCGATCCAAATGTAAGTTTCATGCTTGGATTAGTGCAGTGGTTCTCAAAGTATGGTCCCTGACCAGTACCATCCGTGTCACCTGGGAGTTTGTTATGAATGCAGATTCCTAGGCCTCCACCCCAGGCCTACCACTTCATCAAAAGCTGCATCATCTGTGTTGCCCAGGCTGGAGTACAGTGGCATGATCTCAGCTCACTGCAACCTCTGCCTCCCAGGTTCAAGCAATTCTCCTGCCTTGGCCTCCTAAGTAGCTGGGACTACAGGCATGTGCCAACACACCCAGCTAATTTTTTCTTTTTTGAGACAGTGTTTCACTCTTGTTGCCCAGGTTGGAGTGCAATGGTGTGATCTCGGCTCACCACAACCTCTGCCTCCCAGGTTCAAGCGACTCTCCTGCCTCAGCCTCCTGGGTAGCTGAGATTACAGGCATGCACCACCATGCCCGGCTAATTTTGTATTTTTAGTAAAGACTGGGTTTCTGCATGTTGGTCAGGCTGGTCTCAAACTCCCGACCTCAGGTGATTCGCACACCTCGGCCTCCCAAAGTGCTGGGATTACAGGTGTGAGCCACCGCACCCAGCCAAATTTTCGTATTTTTAGTAGAGATGGGGTTTCATCATGTTGGATAGGCTAGTCTCGAACTCCTGACCTCAAGTGATCCGCCCACCTCAGCCTCCCAAAGTGCTGGGATTACAGGTGTGAGCCACCGCACCCAGCCAGAAGCTGCATTATCTGCATTTTAATAAGCTCTCCAGGTGATGTAGAGGCACAAGAGAACTTGAGAACCACTGGATGAATGCAACAATCTCCCACAATTCCAACACAATCTATCCCAGCTGTGGCTACCAAGTTAATTCACCTACAGCCTTATTACCAGGTCTCTGCGCTAGAACCACCAATGGCTCTCAATTCCCTGCAGGAGCTAACCTCCTGCACTTAGCTCTTAAATCTGTATCTGCCACTCCATCTCTTCAAACCTATTCTCACTAGACTCCCTAAGACCTTCACATTTTGCACTCTAGCTGTAACAACGTGTTCACTTTACAAGCACCATGCCTTTGAGTATAACACCTGCCCATTCCCACTCACCCACCCTGACCCCACCAAGGTTGGATTAGGACATTTAGAAACACTGAACAGTTGGCTCAGGCCTGTAATCCCAGCACTTTGGGAGGACGAGGCGGGTGGATCACGAGGTCAGGAGATCAAGACCATCCTGGCTAACACAGAGAAACCCCGACTCTACTAAAAATACAAAAAATTAGCTGGGCGTGGTGGTGGGAGCCTATAGTCCCAGCTATTGGGAGGCTGAGGCAGGAGAATGGCATGAACCCAGGAGGTAGAGCTTGCAGTGAGCCGAGATCACGTCACTGCACTCCAGCCTGGGTGACAGAGCAAGACTCCGTCTCAAAAAATTTAAAAAAAAAAAAAAGAAAAAGAA